AGAGTGAGATTCTCTCAAAAAAAAAAAAAAAAAAAAAAAAATTCAGATTCTGGAGATTTTTGGATTTTGGACACTGAACTGGTAAGTATTTAATGCAAATATTCTCAAATCTGAAAAAATCCAAAACATTTCTGGTCCTAAGCATCTCAGATAAAGGATACTCAAACCTGTATACCTGATAAGCTGGGAATTCTCTTATCGGCTCCTAGATGGAAACTGAGGTATAGCTGAAGAAATGTTGGCAGAACCAGAAATCAAAATTCTGAGTCTCCTTTGCCAGAGAAATGCAACCAGCGAAATGCAAAAAGTTACCTGACAAGTGACCAACAAATGCTTTTGTTACAAATAGTTTTTAAAATTTAAAAAGGTTCTATTATAAGACTGACATAAATCCATGTAGAAATGGGGGCTGGAAAGGAATGCATCAAAAGGGCATGTGCGTGCTAAGATGGTGAGCACTCTCCCCTTCCTCCAAATCCTGACGGTATTACTAAGCTGTTTAGAGGCATCATAAAACAAAACAGAACCAGGGCCCAGCCTTCTCACAGCACCAGTTCCAGCATGGTCCTTTATTCTGCCCCACTGAGGCCAGCCTGTAGGTGGCCCTGGCAACATCCTGACCTCCCATGCATTCGCTGATGAAGAGTGAAGCAGCCTCTGGTCATGCCCTGAAGGGCAGGCAGAGAGCATTAGCCAAGAGCACACTCCCGAATCCAGTTCTGATTCCCACTTGCTTGCACCCAGGAACCTGGGACACCTCAAGCCTGTGAGGCCTGTTCCCACTGGAGCAGGCCTCGCCAGGCCTCACCTTCAGGAAGTTGGCCATGGTGCTGACGTGGCTGGCGCAGGCTCCCTTCCGCACATCGTTCACACCCTCGCCTGTCTGTAACACAAGTATGCCCAGAATGACCCAGGCCTCCCCCAAAGCCACTTCCCTCCCCTGGGGACCCAACATCTACCCTGTGTCCCAGAAAAGAGAAAACTGCAACCCCCAAAGCAGAACCAATTCTTCTGACTGCATCACACTGGTGAGGTAAGTTTCCATGCCTCCAAGGGGCTCATGGACGCTCCTTTGGCAGGATGGTTACCAGCTTTCCCTGTGGGGGCATTTCATGAGTTTTCATGAGTTTTCTTTCTTTCTTTTTTTTTTTTTTTGGAGATGGAGTCTTGCTCAGTCGCCCAGGCTGGAGTACAGTGGCACAATCTCAGCTCACTGCAACCTCTGCCTCCCAGGTTCAAGCAATTCTCCTGCCTCAGCCTTCCGAGTAGCTGGGACTACATGTGCATGCTGCCACACCTAGCTAATTTTTGTATTTTAGTAAAGAGGGGCTTTCACCGTGTTGCCCAGGCTGGTCTCAAACTCCTGAGCTCAGGCAATCCAACCACCTTGGCCTCCCAAAGTTCTAGGATGACAGGCGTGAGCCACCGCACCCGGCCTTCAAGAGTTTTCTTGATCCCTACCAAGGGATCAAGGAGGCCCTGTCCCTGCACTGCCAGGCTCCTAAACACTCCCTCAGGCTCTCTACTCCATCAGAACAACCACCCTCAAGAGCACGGAGCAAGGACTCCCTGCGACTGCTTTTACTCCATTTTGCAGGAAGAACTCTAGGCTTGGAGGGTGAATTCTGCATAGCAAAGTCACAGTTATTCTTTGGGACACAATGAATCTGTCAACTAGTCTGCTCATTCACCAGCTCAGAGCTGTTCTACTGATCCACTAAGTCATGCCCGTAAAACACTCTGTTCCTGAAGTCAAGTCAAAACAGGAAAGAAGACAATGGGGTTTCCTGGGTCACACCTAGATGAAACGGGCTCCACATACCCAGTTGATGAGGACAAATTTGGGCAGTCCGGAGTTGGGGTCCTTCACTCTGCAGAAGGCATACATCACCTTCCCGCTGTTGAGCTCCTCCACCATCTCCTCCAGGCCACCCTCTGCAGCAGAGTCACAAGGAAGGTCAGGGGTGGCCCTGACATTCCCTGCTGGCCCTCGTCCCACCAGGAAGGGAAGCCAAGCTGCCTCTAAACCAGGGCTTCTCACATCTACCTGTATCAGAATCTTTCTAGGGGCATGTTTACAATCAGAGTCCTGGGCACCAGCCCCACTAAACTGACTGATGAGAGCTGGGTGGGACCTAGGAGTCTGTGATTCTGACAAGTACCTCAGATAATTTCTTTCACCCACACTTGTTTAAAAACCACTTCTCTAAACCCAGAGGTAATTCTGGAAATAAAAACAGGGTCACTTCCATGGCAAACCAGCCACCAGACTTCCAAATGGAGGATGTCTACATCAAAATTTTATTGTTGCCTCAACCTTGCAAAGGGGCCCGGAATAGCAGGGCCTGTAGAGTCACCACTGCCTGCACCTGTGTCTGCTCAAGCTCCAGGGCCGCCCAGGGGGCCAGACCAGATTGAACGTCCTGCAGCAGCATAACTGGCTCAGCCCTCACAGACTCCAGAAGAGAGGGTGATGGGGGCAGGGGGAGCACAGGAGTGGGCAGCTCTAAACGATTCTCCCCTGACACTGAGGCTTAGCCCCCACAAGCTTTCCCAGGTTATAAGGAGGAAGAGCTGATCAGGTATTTCAGCTACAGGGCTCCATATAAGTGGAGGCAGTCATGAGTCCCCACTCTGGGGACAGCAACCTGTTGCGTTTGCGAGAGAGCCCTGTCCCGTGCCACTGGGGATGATGACAGGAAACTCAAGTTGTTGATCCCTGCAACTCCCAGTCACCTGCCACACCACATGTCTACTGTTCAATGGTGATCCTTCTAGAAAGGGGACACCTCCCAAAAAGGTTGTGAAAAGAAGGGGCTTTCTACCAACAACAGCCACCAAACCGTGGAGAACACACTCCGAGCGCTCATTGAACAATGAAGCCATGTCCGGCTCAGGACAGAGGGAGGGGTCAGGGAAGTTCTGGAGGAGGAATAGTCAAGGGTGTCAGCTGGGGGGCCCACAGGTCACACTCTGACCCAGCCTACCCTGACAATCTCTGCTCTGTGCTGGCCAAGAGCCTGTCCTTCCTGCAGAGACCCCCAGAGCCTCCCCCGTGACTATCTGCGGTGATACTGCCTCTCCCAGTGAGGATGGGGCCCCTGCAAGCACTTGGCACAAGACCAGGGCAGGACAAAGGGAGACTAGGCCATGTCTGTGGACCTTCTTTCCACCAGCACCAGTTCTGGGACTGGTGAGCTTCCCACCACAGCTCCCTGGACGCAGGCTGCCCACAAGCTGGAGAGGCCTGTTTCCCTCTCAACTCTCCCCAAGTAGACACAGAGAAAGCACTCCCCTGCACCCAGAGGGGAGGAGAGCCAAGAAGGAATGTTTTCACTTACACATATCTGAAACCAAAGGCCTGCCAGAAGTGGCCAGTGAGCACTGGAAGCCCCATGTGGCTCAGTGGACCAAGACGGCTGAGTGCGCTGACCTCCGGTCCTGCCTGTTGTTGGCTCATGTAATGATCAAGGGGCCAGGGAACCCCCAATGGAGTTAATGTGGGGTGGGTCTGCAGAAGGCAGGCTCCAGTCCACTTCCCACCCTCAGTGGAGGAAGGTGTTGAGCCACTGGCAGAGGCCACCTGTGTGACAGAGTCCCCTTCTTCCTGTGCAATAGCTGAAATGCCAGCTGAGATGGACTGCTGATGGTCACAATCCTCTCTCCTTTGCACACGTCACCCTCCTACCTCCTGGTGTCCCCGAGTCCATTTGGAGTCATACTCACCCCCTGTGCCAGCCACACGGATGTCGTTGCTGTTGCCTTCATAGGTAAAGAGAGCCCTGAAACGAAACACAAGTGAGCTCTGTAGCCAGTACCTTGGCTACATCTCTCCTCACCGCACCTACCATGACTTTCCGCTATACCCCAAAGAGCTTGGGCCGACAGTAACACTGTGAGTGGACACGGACCCCTTCTCACTTTGCTCTAGCCCGCTAACCAGGTTCTCAGTAGGCAACTGTGCAGCCTTCTCAGCTCTGCAGCTGGGAGGACACTGGCCTGACTTACCATGGGGTGGGGGTTGTGAGGGACAAAGCCATGGAGATGGGAGCACACATCTACTATGAGGAAAACATGAGCTGTGGAGTTTCCAACGACTGCTATACATTCGTGTGTCAAATACTCACCTGGCCACACCAGGTATATGGATTTGAAGAGACAAAACATATCTACATATTCCTGAACCCAGAGGACCCAAAAGGAGAAGCAAGTCAGAGAAATACACATGCTGGGCCCCTTGGAAGGCTGCCCACCACTCCTGTGCATGTCTGCCCTGGCTCCAGTGAAGCCTGGCAGGTAGGGCAGCAGGTCCTTCTAGGCTTGAGACTCTTTGGTAAACACAGATAACTACAGGCTGTGTTTATTAGAAACCACAAGGGAATGACACAACATGAAATCACACAGTTAAAACCATGAACCTGCCAAGCCCCTCACGGACAGGTACCCATGAGCAAGTTTCCTATCTAGCAGAGCCTATCTCTCCATGGGTGACATGGGGCCATGGCTTTCTTTTCCTGTAAGATTAATTATTCATAAGAACTCTGGGCCAGGCGCACTGGCTCACGCCTGTAATCCCAGCACTCTGGGAGGCCAAGTCGGGCGGATGGGGATCACGAGGTCATGAGATCGAGACCATTCTGGCTAACATGGAAAATCCAATCTCTACTAAAAATACAAAAAATTAGCTGGATGTGGTGGCAGGCACCTGTAGTCCCAGCTATTCAGGAGGCTGAGGCAGGAGAATGGCGTGAACCCGGGAGGTGGGGCTTGCAGTGAGCCAAGATCATGCCACTGTACTTCAGCCTGAGCAACACAGCAAGATTCCATCTCAAAAAAAAAAAAAAAAAAAGAACTCTGGGCCAGGCATGGTGGTTCATACCTGTAATCCCAGTACATTGGGAGGCTGAGGCAGGAGGGTCGCTTGAGTCCAGGAGTTTGAGACGAGCCTGGGCAACATGGTGGGACCCTATCTCTACCAAAAATACAAAAATCAGCCAGGAGTGGTGGCACATGCCTGCAGTCCCAACTACTCGGGAGGCTGAGGTGGGAGGATTGCTTAAGCCTGGGAGCTTGAGGCTACAGTGAGCCATGATGATGCCATTGTACTCTAGCCCAGGCAACAGAGTGAAACCCTAACTCTTAAAAAACAAACAAAAAAAAAACAAAAAAAAAAACAAAACTCCGGTAAAGATTCATTCTGACTTGCTATTAGCATGAACCTTGCAGCAACTCAACACCCCCGGCAGGACTGCTGGACATGGGTTGCAGGCACTGACCCATTGGACTGTAAGTCAAAGGCAAAACCCAGTCCTGTGTGTGTCATCTCCCCAGTCTCAGCCAGACGGAAGCTCCAGGGATAAACAGGTGGACAGGAACCAAATCAGCTTCAACTTGGCTTCCCCAGGGCTTTGCCAATGCCACGGGGCAGAGATGCTTATGCCTGAGAAAGATGGAGAAATTAGACCCAGGCCCAGTGGGATCTGGTTGGTAGGGAGGAGACAGGCCTCCAGGAAAAGGCACTGCTTCCCAGGAGAGGAGACAGAATACTGAAGGAGAGAAACACCGAATGAGAAACACTCAGAGAAAAGGAACTAGAGAAGACACCACAGAGGAACAAGAGAAAGATTTGGGAGGCGGCACACTGTCAGCGTGAGCTGGGGGAACGCCCTGGAGGAAAGAAGCCCATTCCTCTTGATGACCACAAAGCCCTGGCTGCCAGAAGATAGTAAGCTGGCACAAGCAGCAGGGAACGGAAGATGGCAGCTTAACCCAGCTCTTGCAAGAAGGGACTCAGCCAGCTACAATGGCTCACACCTATAATCCCAGCACTTTGGGAGGCCAAGGCAGGCGGATTACCTGAGGTCAGGAGTTTGAGACCAGCCTTGCCAACATGGGAAACCTTGCCTCTACTAAAAATACAAAATTAGCCAGGTGTGGTGGTGGATGCCTGTAATCCCAGCTATTTGGGACTCTGAGGCAGGAAAATCACTTGAACCCGGGAGGCAGAGGTTCCATGCCACTTCACTCCAGCCTGGGTGACAAAGCAAGACTCTGTCTAAAAAAAAAAAAAAAAAAAGGGACTCAGCAGCTAATATAATAAGAGCCAAGCTCAATGCCTGCCACCTATCTCTCTGACTTGATCCCCCTCTACCCCAGGCCACCTTTAAGAATGTTCCCAGTGCAGAGGCACATTCCCAGTTTAGAGGCCCTTTGAAAGAAGGGCGAAGGAAGTTTCAAATCAACATGAAAAAACATGGTGCACTGGCCTCTGAACAGCAAGGAATATGGAGTGTCAAGCATCTTATAATTCAATCATGCCTTTGAAAATTAGTACTGAGAGCCTACTGCTTACTAGTTACAGGAATGCAGCTATGAACAATCCCTAAAAGGTCCTACCCATGGAACTTACTTTCTAATGGGAGAAAAAATACACACCTAACACTAATGTACTATTAGCGAGTGAAGCAGGTGCTAGAGGTGACACATGAACCAGGTAAGATCAATGCCAAGATATGGAGTAAGCAGGGGCAGGAGACAGATGCAAGACAGAGAGCTGATGTCATGGCTGCTCCCCACTCTGCCTGCCTTCCCCAATGCTAGCACTATGTGTGTGAAACCTCTTATGACCCACCAAACTAGAGACCACCTCTACTTCCTCTGATATCTCTACCACTTTTTCTGTATGAATCTCGGTCCATCCTTCATCCAAGCATCTGCTACACATAACAACTGTGCCTTAGGCACCAAGGACAGAGAGACCCCACCCCTTCCAGTAAGAGATAAAGGTGACAAGAAAACCCATAAGGATTTTCAGCACATGTTGTGTCTGGCATGTGTCTGAAGGAAGTCAAACAGAAAGATGGGAAAAAGTGCCTACAGACAGGGAGCTAGGAATCAAGGAAGGCCTCCCTGAGAAGGCAACCTTGGGGCAAAGAAGTGAAGGCTGGGGACAACGTGGAAGAAGTGTGCTCCACGCAGAGGAAGCAGCAGAGCAAGGACTCTGAAGAGGAACCAACTTGTAAGTTTGAGGAAGAGAAAGACGGCCAGAGTGGTGACAAACAGGTGTGGCCACAGTGTGGTAAGTGAAAGGGGTGGTAGGTTCTGGGTCACGCAGGACATCAGCAGAGCGAGGAGTCTAGGCTTTATTCAACATGCAACAGGAAGCCACTGTAGAGTTACAGACACGGAAGTGACATGGTCCAGATATTTTTCCGCAGTGTGCAGGAATCTACCACACAGTATCTGCTGTAAGCTTAATGGTTGTGACTATGAGGGTGGAGGCCAGTGGGTCATGCTGCTGAGTAACACAACCTGTAGTGCTACAAGAGCCTGGAGGTAGGGAGGGAGCATGGCATGGCTGTCTGGGCAGATGAGTTCAGTGAGATAGGTGGGTTCTGACTTCATAAGGGGAAAGAGGAGGTTCCACAACCCTCGTGAGGGACAGAGAGTAGATGGGGTGGGTAAGCACCAGGCCAGGAGTGGTAGCAGACAGCTCTGGTAAGAAGCCCAAGGAAAGGCTAGGAACATAGGAGGTCTGAAGAGGGAAGCCCAAACTGCCAGGTGGGCTAGGAGGCATCATCCCAAACCAGTGATGGTTCCTGAGAAGACTGATGATGAAGAGAGACCTGGATGAGAGAGAGATCAGGAGTGCCAGGAAGCTCCTAGGTAAGTCTGCCAGGGTAAACAAAGTGATCAAGAGCATGTTAAGAAGCAAAATCTTTAACTGGGCAGGGTTGGAGAGGGGCAAAGATTCTTCTGGGTTCTAAAGCCAAGTGGTATCATGAGGACATGAAAATGGGGCACTCATTGCAGAGATGCTTTTGACTGGGTTTGAAGTAACAGGAGAGGTCTAAGAGAAACACGAACAGGAATAGGAGAGAGGCAAAACAGGGGGCTGACATCTAGAAACTCTCCTGAGAAAACTAACACTGACTGACATGTGGGTAAATCTGAGGGATTATAAAGCAGGCAGAAAACCCTACCAAGAAGTGACGAGACATCCTTCTTTAGATGCCTCCCAAACAGAAGATGTGCTGTTTGGCATAAGTGCCATCCAGGGCACCCAGACCTGACAGGAGAGTCTACAGACACCCCACAGACCTAAGCAACTGCTATTCTAAAGCTCTTCCCCTAATGGCCCAGGGCGGAGGAAAAGGCAAAGCCATAACATCCTCAGGGTCACAACACTACACTGCATAAAAGCCGCTCTGTGCTGGGCACTAGGAAGTGCGGAGGAGATGAGAAAGCACTTGTACAAGTGGAGATGGCCCCCATACAAGGGGAAGACAGTCGGGAGGGCCTCAGTGCTGACCACAGGGTGGCCCCACCACGACTCAGCCTCCAAAGCCCAGTTTCTATTCCCCAAAGTTGGTCACCTTAGCCCACCATACTCAGCATATTTCTCAGAATTGGAATTTCTCAAAACCGGTCAGTGAAAACAATTTAAGCAAATGGGAAAGTGAGGATATCTTGGGTGGTGTAGGGAAAATGGGACCTTTTCCCAAATAGATAGCGAGCATCCTACTTTCGAACATCTTCTCATGTCTCAGGCACAGGAAAGAGTACACTTTTTGGAGAAACAAATGTCTGAAGTCCATGTTCACAGACAGCCAAGAACCCAGATCCCCGAGCTCCTCATCTGAAGCCCCCAGGGCAGGGCTCACATTCACAGCCCGGCTGCCAGGCCGCTCTCAAATGCCCATCTCTGAACACAGCGTTTGCAAAAAAAAAAAAA